CCTTCCTTCCTTCCTTCCTTTCTCTCTCTCTCTTTCAATGGAGTCTTACTCTTTGCCCAGGCTGGAGTGCAGTGGTGTGATCTTTGGCTCATCACAACCTCCACCTCCCGGGTTCAAGTGATTCTCGTACCTCAGCCTCCCAAGTACCTGGGATCACAGGCCTACGCCACTATGCCCGGCTAATTTTTGTATTTTTCATAGAGCTGGGGTTTGCCATGTTGGCCAAGCTGGTCTCGAACTCCTGGCCTCAAGTGATCTGCCTGCCTTAGCTTCCCCAAATGCTGGGATTACAGGTGTGAGCCACCATACCCAGCCTGAAAACTCCATGTTTCATGCATTTCTCTCTGGTATATTTTCTATTATTGAAAATAGTAATGGAAATTAGCCAGGCACAGTGGCTCATGCCTGTAATCCTAGCACTTTCGGAAGGTGAGGTGGGTGGATCACCTGAAGTCAGGAGTTCGAGACTAGCCTGGTCAACATGGCAAAACCCCATCTCTACTAAAAATACAAAAATTAACTGGGCGTGGTGGCGGGTGCCTGTAGTCCCATCTACTCTGGAGGCTGAGGCAGGAGGATTGCTTGAACATGGGAGGTGGAGGTTGCAGTGAGCAGAGATTATGCCACTGCACCCCAGCCTGGGCGACAGAGTGAGACAGCCTCAGAAAAAGAAAAAAAGAAAAAGAAATTGCATTATATGTATACTGCTTTTGAGAAGTTACATCAGATGTGTTTCTCCATGTTATTATGACCTTTGCAGAAACCATCCTGAGAGATTTCAGTGTTTCATGGAGGAGATAAACATGCTCTCCTTCATCGGTTCCCTACTGTTGGTCCTGCCAGTCGTTTTCAATTTTTCTTTTCTTCTGCATCTTCACTTTAAGGTCCTTTCTCTGGCTGTGACCCATGCTTCTTCCCCGGGCAGGATGACACTCTCTGAATTTCCTTATTCATCACGGCAGTGCCATGTGGTGGAAGGAGACGCAGCTGAGAGTTAGGCAGGTCAGTGTGCAGATCCTTCTCCCCACCTGTGTCCACATCAGTCAGGAAGTCACGTCCCTTCTCTGAACCTCAGTTTCCTCGTCTATAAAGTAGACATCACAATCCCGGTTTTAAAAGGCGATGATGAGGCTACAAACCAGCGCATGTTGGGTGCCGTGTAGGTGCTTAATAAAGCTAGTGAATGCTATTGTGCACCCACTTGGATGCCAACTGAGTTCGTTTACATGGTACCTGAGTCTTGTACAGATACTTAGTGATTTGCTTTTATTTCTGTTGAGGCTGCTGGTTCGTCTCCTGGGCGATTATCAGCCTGTTTGAGCAGCGTGTTTCTGGGGCATTGGGTCCATTGTGCAGATTCAATGGGCTTGTGAATAACTTGTAGGCTAGTCTTTTGTTTCAAGAGGACCCCTTCCCTTGTCTCTGAGGACTGAATCATCTGTCAGCTCGAGCTCCAAGGAACAATAGCCAGAGATTCTCAGGGGCAGAGGCCAAGTCTGGCTGAGGGTGACATCTGTCTCCCTATCCCATTCTACTCCCATCAGATCAGATGAGGCAGGTGTCCCCTTATCCCTGTGGTGACAGGTGGGCCCCTCTGGAAGCTACTGGGTGAGTCATGGAAGGGAGGGGGGTGCTGAACTATTGTGCACTCAAAGGGTGTGCAGAAGATGATGAGTAGTAACCAGCCCTAACTACCGCTTTGTTACCATTTACCAAGCTTCTCGCTCAGTGCTCCCTCATAGAGACTCCATGATAAGGCAGGGAATTCGCCATTGCAGAGAAACAGGCTCAGAGAGGTGAAGTGTTGAGCTCAGGGCCACACAGCGAATTAGCTGTGGAGTTAGGATTTCAACCCATGTCTGGTTTGACTCTGAAACGTGTGTTTGTAACTACTACAGTACGCCACTTTTAAAAGTGAACTCAATCAGTTGCCTACAGCCTGTGAAAGCAACCGGAATAAACTGAACAGAGATGATTTCTCAATCACAGGCCAGTTTTCTCACAGTAATGGTAATGCAGATGGCCACAGAGTTTGCAGTTCACACATATCTTCCTTGGATCTGTTCTCATTTAATCCATATATATAAAAGGATCTATATATATCCATCCATATATATACATAGATCCACTCTGTCATCCAGGCTAGAATGCAGTGGAGCAGTCTCAGTTCACTGCAGCTTCTACTTCCTGGGCTAAAGTGGGCCTCCTTCTGCAGCCTCCCAAATAGCCACAGCTGCAGGTACACGCAACCACGCCCAACTAATTTTTGAATTTTTTTGTAGAGGCAGAGCCTCCATCTGTTGCCCAGGCTGATCGAGAACTCCTGGCCTCAAGCGATTCTCCTGTCTCTGCTTCCCAAAGGGTTGGGATTACGTTGTGAGCCACTGCACCCTGTCCCTATTTGAACACATTCCTGCCCCTTTGGGGGTCCAACAGGCCTGTTTAGAATCTCCGTTGCCTTATTTTCTAACTGAACCTCGGTTTCCTCATCGGTAAAGTGGGGAATGATAAAACCCAACTTGTTTTGCCATGTAGCTACAGGTATTGATCGACTTACGACCTATGCAACTTACGACCATTCGACTTTACGACCACAATCGCTAGCCACGACTGCTCCGCGTCTGGCAGCGCAAACGTTGCCCAGCTGGGCATACGACAGTGCGGACCAGCTTCCGGCAGCACTACCATCTCCGCGTGCATATAGCCTACTCCACTTACGACCAAATCGTGTTACGACCGGTCTGTCGGAACCAATTGTGGTCGTACGTCGGGCACTAGCTGTAAAGACGCTCCCAATTAGGATCTGTTCTTGGTAAATGTTAGTTTAGCTTCCTTTCCCTTCTTCTTGCTTTTCTTTCCTCTCTCTCCACCTCAGGGGCTCCCTCGGTCGAAGGAGATTTGAATTTCGAATCTCCTCTTTTGTGGACACTGTGTTTGAATTCATCAGGAAACAGCGGTTATCCTCCCCTGCAGAAGCGTCGGCTTTCCCCAGTGTGTCTCTTGTGAGGCTCTTGGCACATTTCATTATTCCCTGGAGCTTCCGTTACCTGTGGGCACGGGCTCATCCAAGGCAATTTGGGCCAACATCTCTTGGACGTCTCAGCTCTCAGAGTAGCGATTTTATTCCAGAGTCAGGGAAAAAGACCAAAAACTCAGAGGGATTTGAAAATGCAACAGATGTAGGTTTCCCTGGCAGTTGCCCGTCTGTTACTAGGATAGTGCATGCTTGTTTTGGGGAAAAATGAATATCATGGGTGGTGTTCATGAACTAATGGTAATAATAGTGATGTAAGAAAATGGCAGAATTCAAGCTAAGTCTCATTCATCTTCTCATTCGATCCTCATGACGCCCCTGTGAAGTGGGCACTGTTATTATCCTTATTGTGGATTAGGAGACCGAGGCTCACTGCAGGTGAAGGACTTGCTCGAGGTCACATAGTGTGCTGGTGGCAGAGCAGCACAGGAATCCAGGCCATAAAGCCTATGTTAGGATATAATTGTTGACACTGGCCTGATCAAAATACCTCCTTGTGGCTGGGCGCAGTGGTTCACGCCAGTAATCCCAGCACTTTGCGAGGCCGAGGCAGGTGGATCACGAGATCAAGAGATAGAGACCATCCTGGCCAACATGGTGAAACCCCGTCTCTACTGAAAAATAAAAAAATTAGCTGGGCGTGGTGGCGCGCGCCTGTAGTCCCAGCTACTCGGGAGGCTGAGGCGGGAGAATTGCTTGAACCCAGGAGGCGGAGGTTGCAGTGAGCCGAGATTGCGCCACTGCACTCCAGCCTGGCGCCTGGTGACAGAACAAGACTCTGTCTCAAAAAAAAAAAAAAAAAAAAAACCTCCTTGTTTCCTGGTTTGCTTTTGGACTGCAGCTGAGGAGATCAGTTTTGGGAAATGCTGTGATTTGAAACGGGACCTTGGCATCAATTCTTCAGTGAGCCCACAGGTACGTATGTATTCTCTCACTCCTGTCTCTTTTTCTTTTGGTGACAGTTGGAGGCATCTGTCCACCCACATGGTTCCAGAAACCTTCATGTGGCCACCATGACCCCACTGGCATCATGGGAGTAGCCAAGGTGATCCTCCCCATCTTCCTGTGAACACTCGGATTGGCAGAGACCACCTTATACTTTGAGGTCAGATCCACCACAAAATCCATATGTACTGAGACCTCCTGAATCTTAGAGGTGGGAGAGACCTCTGATGACTCTCTGGGTTCCAGTTCCTCAATCATGCATTTCCTGATTGACCTTGGCTTGCAGTGGGGTGGTCTGTGTGACCTAGTGAGAGCTGAGAGGATGAGGCCCTGGTGCCCACAGCCAGTTCTCTGTGTGGCATTTGACCTGGCACCTCTTAGTTCCATTCCTCTTTTATCACATATAAACGAGTTTTGCAAAAACAACCTTATTGCGGTGTAATTTACACACAAGGGAATGCACCCATTTAAAGCACACATTTCAGTGTGTTTTGACAAACGTATACACCTGTGTAACCATCACCACAATCAGGATGCAGCACATTTTCATGGCTCTAAAATGTTCCCCCGTGTTCCTTCCCAGCCAATCCCCTCAGCCTCAGCACCAGCCCTAGGAAACCACTGACCTGCTTTCTCTGAAGTAGATTGGATTTTTTTTTTTTTTATGTTCCATATATATATGGAAGCTTCTGTGTTCAACTTTTTTTTTTGCTGAACAGAATGCTTTTGAGGCTCATCCTTTTTTTTTTTTTTTTTTTTTTTCCGAGACAAGATCTCACTCTGTTGTGAGGGCTGCAGTGCAGTGGCACCGTCTCAACTGACTGCAACCTCTGACTGCCGAGTTCAAGTGATTCTCCTGCCTCAGTCTTTCGAGTAGCTGGGAATGCAAGTGCGCGCCACCACGCCCGGCTGATTGTTGTATTTTTAGTATAGATGGGTTTTTGCCATGTTGGCCGGGCTGGTCTCAAACTCCTGACCTCAAGTGATGTGCTTGCCTCGGCTTCCCAAAGGGCTGGGGCTACAGACGTAAGCCATCGTGCCCAGCTGAGGCTGGTGCTTCCTGTTGTCTCAGTAGTTCAATTCCTGTTCTGATCAATTTATTGAGGCATAGTTATTGTTGTAGTTTTTTTTAGACGGAGTCTTGCTCTGTTGCCCGTTTCTGGAGTGCAGTGGTGCAATCTCGGCTCACTGCAACTTCCGCCTCCCAGGTTCAAGAAATTCTCCGGCCTCAGCCTCCCGAGTAGCTGGGACTACAGGCACGTGCCACCAAACCCAGCTAATATTTTTTTTGTATCTTTAGTAGTGATGGGGTTTCACTGTGTTAGTCAGGGTGGTCTCAATCTCCTGACCTCAGGATCTGCCCATCTCAGCCTCCCAAAGTGCTGAGATTACAGGTGTGAGCCACCGCTCTTGTTGCCCAGGCTGGAGTGCAATGGCACGATCTCGGCTCACTGCAACCTCTGTCTTCTGGTGTCAAGCGATTCTCCTGCCTCAGCATTCTGAGTAGCTGGGACCACAGGCGTGTGCCACCACACCTGGCTAATTTTGTATTTTTAGTAGAGATGGCATTTCTCCATGTTGGCCAGGATGGTCTCGAACTCCTGACCTCAGGTGATCCATCTGCCTCGACCTCCCAAAGTGCTGGGATTACAGGCATGAGTCACCGTGCCCAGTAGAGGCATAGTGTAAATGTCATATAACTCACACGTTCGATGATTTTTAGTAAATGTACCGAGCCATGCAACCTTAACCATAAATCAGTTTTAGAACAGTTCTGCTACCCCGATAAGCTCTCTCATACCCATTTACCATTCATCTGCATCCCATCCCTAACCCCAGGAACCATGAATCTATTTCTCATCTCTGTAGATTTTCCTTTTCTGGATTATTTTGTATAAACGAGATCATACAATATGTGTTCTGCTGAACCTGGCTTCTTTCCCTTAGCATGATGTTTGCGAGGTTCATCCATGTTGTAGGATGTATCAGTAGTTTGTTCCTTTTTATTGTTGAGTAGATTCCGTTGTGTGGATAAGGCACACTTTGCTTTTCCATTCACCAAGATAGGGGATTTTAATTTGATCTGTGCTGCCTAACGGGAGTATATACATATAATGCTACGGGATAAATATGGTGCATATTTCTCGAACATAAATGTCACACACAGATTTACTTAAAGTTTAAATCATTGAGTGGTGAAAATAATTTTTGGAACATGTACTTTGTGCCAGGCACTGGCTAAGCTTTGCAAATCATTAACTTTGGATGGGTGTGATGGCTCACGCCTGTAATCCCAGCACTTTGGAAGGCTGACGCCGGTGGATTGCCTGAGATTAGGAGTTCAAGACAAGCCTGGCCAACATGGTGAAACACTGTCTCTACTTAAAAAAAAAAAATTAGCCGGGCGTGGTGGCATGCACCTGTAATCCCAGCGACTCGGGAGGCTGAGACAAGGGAATCACTTGAACCTGTGAGGCGGAGGTTGCAGTGAGCTGCGATCACGCCACTGCACTCCAGCATGGGTGACAGAGTAAGATCCCGTCTCCACAAAAAATATATCATTAACACTGAGTCACACATTGAGTATGTGGGGTTGAGGGAGCCACAGTCTCCTCCAGGTTTCTCTGGCTCCAAAGCCCATGCCTTCCTTTGTACCCTCTAAGACGGTGTCAGCTTCACCCAGGAGCTAGCTAAAGGTCCCGCAAAACCTCCATCGGCTTATTAATATCATGATTCTAGGTCCACAGAGCCAGGGGAAACAGTCACTGTGGACCAAGCAGGCTCCTCTGAGCAGACCAGGCTCTATTTACAGAGAGCAGCAAGTTCCTGGGACAGAGGAGAGAGAAGGGAATTTCCAGGCTCTTCAGGACGTTCACAACCACGCTGAGAAGCATCCTTGCAGATAAGTACTTAAGCTCACCAGCCCCTAGCCTACCAGCCTGCCGTCTTCTGCTCTGTGCAGGAAAGTGTGGTATCCTAGAATCCCACAGCGGCGGGGGGGAAATGGGTGAGGTAGTTCATTCACTTTTCTACCTCTATGGAAGAAAGAAAGCGCTTGTCCCATTTTAAGGGGTCCCAGAAAGGGTGACTTTCACACTCCCCTTTTGGCATCAGGGCTAGTGTTTCATAAACGTCACCGTCTGGAGCTTTTGGATGGCTGAGTTAAATGACTTCATCTCGTGTGCCTGTAAATCTGCTATTAGAAGGAGCCTGGGGACTCCTGGGTGATGTGAACGGGCTCTTCCCTTCTTAGTTTTGGCATTTTGTTATCCTATTTATAAGCCTTGGCTTGGGTTCCTTGGCCTTGCAGTTTGGTGGAGACTTTGCCCTGTGCCTTTAGGTGCATTTTTCTCAGTGCCAGAGTCTGAGTTCGTCTCCTACTCTGGACCCGTGCCCCCACTCCTAGGTGCTGACAGCAAGCCCTGAAAATACGCTGAGAAGGCTCCCTGACTCTCCTGACTCAGGTCTGCCACCGATGAAGACAGCACAGCTGTTACCCAAGGCAAAACCTGGCAGGTGGCGCTGGGTCAGGATTAGCGGTCATTCTCTGGTCTTCTCCAGATTGATGACACAGGTTGGTCTTAAAGGAGTCCTACTCCAGCCTCTGGCTCCCCGAATTTCCCCTGGCGCATGGCACATCAGGAAAGGGCAGGGGAGAAGGACGGGAGCAGAAAAATAGCTGAGGCTGGGCAGAAGGGGCCCTTCCGTTTCCGTCCACTGCTTCAAACCATGAGTTACTGTTGTGCACCTTGAATGTCAAGGCAGGAAGGGTCCCAGGGCCACCCGGTGTGGCAGGAGCAGAGCTGGGATCAGAATTCTGGATTCCCAACTCTCCATTCAGCTGCAATTCAGCTGCAGTTCACCAAGCTGCTCAGTTTTTCCTCCTTTCTCCCTGGTTGCATTCTGCTGCTGTTGGGAAACAGGGCATGAGTGAAGGGAATCCCTCTCCCCTCTCCCCTCACTTTTTCCTTAAAAATGTTGCGGGGTGGAGTAAAGGGAGGCGGAGGGCGGTGTGCCTGAGTCCAGCTTTCCTGGCTCCGGGGCCTTCTGTCTTCGGCAGGGAGCTCTGGCAAAGCCTGAGCCTGGGGAGAGGGCCTGGGTGCGGGTTTCTCCTGCCATGTGGTTGGCTCTTTTGTCTTCCAGGATGGGCTTGTGGGGTCTTTGTGGGGAAGGAAGGAGCTGGGAGCCTGGGCTGCCTGTGTGCTGGCTGCATGCTGCCAGGTAAGCCTGGGAGGGATTTGGGGAGGGAGGGATTTGGGAAGGGAGGGAGGGAGGGAGGGAGGTCACATGGAGCTGAGTTTCATAGGGGTAGGTTGACCCTCCCACCTGTGTCCCCTCCTCAGACCCAGAACGCTCCTGCTCATGAGAAGATGGACTGCGAGCCAGGTGGCTGGAAGGCTTGCTCTGTGTGGTCTTGGTGCGGGTGGGTGGGATGGAATGAGGACCAGCGTGGGTGAGCTCGAGCAGAGAATTTAGCATGTTCCTTCATCCAGCCCCGGCATGGACCAAGCACCTTCTCTGAGCCAGACGCTGGGGATGCAGAGGTGAACCCAGAGACGTGGTCCCGTCTGCTCGGATCTTCATGTCAGAACACGCTTCATTACGGTCTCAGCGCGGGGGTGAGCTCCCCATCCTGGGAGCAGTGTGTGTATGCGTGTGCGTGCGTGTGTGCGTGTACGTGTGTGTGTGTGTGTGTGTGTTGGGGGTGGTGGTGTGCAGAGGTCCTCCCAGTGGGAATGTTGTAAAAGGAATTCACGCCATCGAAGGACTCCGAAGGTCCTTCCCACCCACTCAAACCCTTGCCCCTCCTCTGCCCACGATGCTGCGGGGGCTTGCCATGGGCTCCCTTTACTGCTATTCCCCGGTCCCCTGAGCCAGCCCTGCCTGGTGGAGTATTCGCAGCTTTCAGTACTTCCTCTTTTTTTTTTTTGAAACAGAGTTTCGCTCTTGTTACCCAGGCTGGAGTGCAATGGCGCGATCTCGGCTCACCGCAACCTCCGCCTCCTGGGTTCAGGCAATTCTCTTGCCTCAGCCTCCTGAGTAGCCGGGATTACAGGCACGCACCACCATGCCCAGCTAATGTTTTGTAGTTTTAGTAGAGACGGGGTTTCACCATGTTGACCAGGATGGTCTCGATCTCTTGACCTCGTGATCCACCCGCCTCGGCCTCCCAAAGTGCTGGGATTACAGGCGTGAGCCACCGTGCCCGGCCACTTCCTCTTTTTACACATTTTTTTTTTTCTTTTTCTTAGAGAGAGGGTCTCACTCTGTTGCCCAGGCTAGGGTGCAGTGTTATGATCACAGCTCACTGCAGCCTTGACCTCCTGGGCTGAATACATCCTCCCATCTCAGCCTCTTGGGTAGCTGGGACTACAAGTGCGTGTGACCATGCCTGGCTAATTTTCTATAGAGACAGTCTCATGTTGCCCAGGCTGGTCTCAAACTCTTGGGCTCAAGTGATCCTCCTTCCTCAGCCTCCCAAAGTGCTGGGATTACAGGTGGGAGTCATTGTACCTGGCCTAAGTTTCTTCTAAAAGATTTTCATGTCCAAAGCCCTCCCTTCCACCTTGTGTGTGTGCTGGGGTCATGAGAGAGATACTGGGGCAGGGGGATCTCTGAACATGTGCCCCCTCAGATGCAGAATTAGGCTGGGGGATGTGGGAAGCTGGGAGTGGAGGCTGTGGCCTCATCCTTGCTCGCTGTGTCCCTGCCCCACACCCCAGGTGGCTCCGTCTGGGCTGAATCTCAGGGACTCCTGGCCTGGCCTTCTCTTTGGACCTCGGGTGACTCTGGACTCTGGCCACCGTGACTTAGCGGGCAGACTGTGATGGTTTTCTAGCCCCCTCACCTGTTGGGATGCAGCCTCCCATGGACAGGAGCTCTTCCTGGCTGGTGCTTGACGACTGGATCTGGCTCCAGGGGTATGAGGGAGGCCTGGCAGCCCACCACTCCCTCCTCACCTGCTCGGGCCCTGCCGGCTGGGCCCTATTGTCTGGGGCTGGGGGCCGTTTCCTGACCCCATGTGAACTTGGTTCCTCCTTGAGTTTCTGCCGGTGACCAGACAGAGCCTGGCCTGGGCCAAGACCCCACTGACCACACTCTCCCCAGGGCTGGGTCTCAAATGACCCTGCAGGATGGGGACAGGAACAGGGATGGGAGTCGGGGAGGGGCTGTCAGTGGGAGGGCAGATGCAGCTCCTCAGGTGCGGCTAGCTGGAGTCCTCTGTCTTTCTCCGTTTGGCCCGTGTGAAATTGTCATTTTTGTGGGGGGCCTCCTTGGTGGGGCTTTTCCATGCTTTTCCTCTCCCTGATGGTTACAAAGAGGAGACAGTCAGGACCTGGGAGGAGCTGGGGCCTTCCCCTTGCATTGCTGAACTTTGGGAGGGGCAGCTAGAGGGGCTGAGTGTGTACCATCCTGAGAAGAGAGGGTCTTCACGGGATAAGAAGGTCTAGGCCAGGGAAATTCACTAGAAAGACAGAGGTGGCCCTGGGTGTTTTTCCTGCCATCCAAAGGGAACCAGCCTTACCCAAAGGCTGCCGGGGCCACCTGAGCCCAGTCTCAGGACACTCTTTTCCAATCAGGTCCCTGCTTCTAGCCGCACTGCTCCTGGATTCTGTTCTTGGGGAGCAGAAGGACAGCCCCCACAATCTGCCTCTCCATGTGCAGTTTTCCTTACCTCTCCGCTTTCCTCCTCCGTTTACAGCCCCCTCCAGAGGGGACAGTCCCAGTGTTTAGCAGAGAGCAGCTTGTGGCCTCCCTTAGACAAGTTTAAAAGCCAGATGTCCTTTTTCCCAGGATGGGGAGGAGGGCAGTTGTGTACTCTTCATCAGCTTGGGCTGCCACAGCACCATGCCACAGACTGGATGGCTTAAACAGCAGGAATTTACTTTCTCCCAGTTCTGGAGGCTGGAAAGTCCAAGGTCGGGGTGTTAGAGTTGGTTTCTGGTGAGGCCTCTCTCCTTGGCTTGCAGGTGGCCCCTTCTTGCTGTGTCCTCATGTGACCTTTTCTCCACGGAGAGGGAAGGACAGCAGGAGCGGTCTCTGGTGTCTTCTCCTCTCCTTACAAGGACACCAATCCCATCAAATTAGGGTTCAACCCTATGACCTCATTTAACTTTAACCCCTTAAATATCCCATCTCCAAAAATAGTCACATAGCGGGCTACTGCTTCAACATATACATTTGGGGGAGGGGACACCATTCCGTCCTTAACAGGGTGATCACCACAAACACTGAAAGTCAGGGCCATCTCCCCTTCAGAATTCCCACCCCCCGCCCAGGGAGGGGAAAGGGGAGTAGAGGTATGGGAAGCAGACACTGAGAGTGACAGGTACCACGCTGGGGTGGCTCAGGAGTGCTTCGGAGGACATATGGAATTGGCTGGGCTCAGTGCAGAAAGGAGGGGCCCCTGGGAGAGCCGTGTCCCGAGAAGAGCCTGGGCTACAATCTTGGGCAAGTGACTTCACCTCTGAGCCTCAACTGCTCTGCGAAATGAAAGGCACATGCTCACCTGTCAGGTGCAGGGAGGATTCGGTGAGATCATGTGCCTAGCACAGCGCCGGACTCCCAGTAGGTGCTCAGCAGCAAATGCTCCCATCCATCCTGGAGTATAGATTTAGGGTTTATCCTGGTTTTTTTTTTTTTTTTTGGGCTCTCTGGACTTAAAACCTCAGCATCTTCTGATACAGAAGCATTTCTGATTAGCCCTTCCCCTGGCTCTTTCCCCAATATCCCTCTCTAATCAGCTTGGGGAGGTGGCAGCATTTCGTGGCCTCCAATAGTAGCTCACGATGCTTCCTGGGGTATTTAAATTCTACTCTCTCATCAGCACTGAGCACCTACCTTGGGCTCTTTCCTGTGCTAGTCATTTGGGGGAAATATGGGTGAAGAGTGGGCAGGGTTCGAACTTTTATGATTTCACATCCATGCTGGATGGGTAAAACCAGCTCACAGTCTACTGAGGTACAAGTTCTGAGTGCATGGTAAGTGCTTGCTAAGTGGGTGAGAGACACCAGAGGGGGCTGCTGCCGTCTGGAACAGCTTCCTAGCAAGCTGTACCAACCAGGGCCTTGAAGGATGAGAAAGATCTGGCTGAGATGAGACCCTCTAGGTGAATTCCCAAAGGAAGTTCTAGGAAATGTCATTGCTCTTTCAAAACAAAAACAAAAACAACAAACAGCAGGCTCAAATTCAAATTCCACTGCACTACTGAAGTCGTGCAGGACTTATCAGGGCCTTTAAAATGCTAATCGCAATTTCAAATACTCAGGGAACATCGTGTAGAACTGTGGGAGATGCTAGGCTGGGGTTTCTGTGGGAAAAGTACAGCAGTGGTAGAAGATGGCATAATTAGGATACACTCAGGTGTTTTGTAGTATTGGCTGAAAAAGAAGCAGACCGGGAGGGCTTGGGGAGTCTCAACTTAGTTCCAGGAGCCAGGCCAACTTGATGCAGTTTTTTTTTTTTTTTTAACTGGGGGGAGGGCAGGCCAATAATTGGAACAACTAGAGGCCTGGCAGTTGCTGTTGGAAGAGATGTCTACTGAGCACGAGGGTCAGATCTTTGTGGCGACATGCTGGTGTGTGTGTGTCTATGCCAGAGTGTAACAGGATCCAGCCCTCTGGGAAGGGGCTGACCAGAACCAGGCAGGGGGGTTCTATCCAGGACAAGTAGGGTCCATTATCAGGGGGCTGAAATGTTTCCAGGGGTTAATCTGAGACCCACAGCCAGTAAATAGGGAAGCAACATTTTGGGCAGGGGCCATGTGGTTAGGGTTGATTTTGGTGGGGCTGAGGGGCTTAGAGGTAGACCCCCTGCTCTGGTCAGGCCCTGTTCCCTGGCTGGTGGGGACGGGAGGCCTCTGGAGCTGCAGCTGGAGGGGCTGGGGCAGTGTTGCATGGTGTGATTAACCTACTAACCCAGGGCTCGGCGGGGATGCTGTGGCGTGTGACAAGGTGCCTGGCCTTCTGCCAACCAACTAACCTACTAACCAGGCCCGAGCATGCCCTACTAACCCCCTGCAGCCAGATCCTACTAACCGTGCAGCTCATGGGCCTTTCAAGGGGCTGGGATATGGGGGCAGCCAAGGCTCCAGAAGGCTTTGCCTATGGGCTGGGATCTTTGTGCAGACCCACGTTCCAGGACAGAGAATGCAAATAAGACTCATCAACTCTGCCACTTCCTGGTGGGTGACTTTGAGTAAGTCACCTCACTTCTCTCAACCTCAGTTTCCTCAGTGATAGAATGGGAGCACTGATACCTCACAGGTTGCAGTGAGGATTCCCATGAATATGAGGGTCTTGGCACATGGCAGATACCTAAAAAAAAAAAAAAAAAAAGGACGAAGGTGGAGGGAGTCCCCCCAAACCTGGTTGAGCACACCTGCTGCCTAGGCCCTGGCCTCTCTGGGTGTTCTGCACACAGATCCTTCTGCCTGGGCCAGACACTTGCTTTGAACGCCTAACTGTCACTTCCCCACATTCTTCCTCGGTCTCAGCTTTCTTTTCTGTAGGCAGCTCTTTTGTTCGATTACTAACCCGTCTAACCCCTGGGGTGCCTCAACTGCACCCCATCATCCTTTAACAAACTAACGGACCTGCGTGCGTTCTTCCTTTTCTCCTAGCGACTCCTGTGTATGTCTGCTGAGGTGCCCTGTCCCCTGGTGCTGTGCTCTGACTTACTAACCCAGCCCCTACTAACCCTGTTTTCTCTTCTTACTAACCCCAGCCCTGCCGAGCTCTGGGCTCCCCACTGGGGGCTGGTCCCCCTCCTTTTGGCAAGCAGATGACCTGGGACTACTGGCCCTATAGACAGATGTCCCACTTTGCTGCCCCATATTGGCTGTAAGATCAGAGTCCATAGGGCCAGGTCTAAGGCAGGGGACGGCCGTTTTATCAAGACTCAGAGGAGGAGGTGGTCCTGTGGATGCCTTCTCTGTGCAGAAGTCTGGTTGCCACTGGGAGTAGGTGGGACCAGGGAAACCTCGGGGACGTGAGTGTGGAGGCCTGTGGGTCTAGACTCTAGACTGGAGCTCTGAGCTTTCGTATCCTTCTCGGGAAGGAAGCCGGGGAAGGATCTTTTCCATTGTTAAGTGGCAGGAATACGAGCTACCCTGCACAGGAAGTCGAGAGGGAGGCGTGTCCCACGAGGAAGTCAGGAGGGGGCGTGCCCGTCACCGGAAATTGGCAGGGGGCGTGTCCCACATCGGAAGTCAGAAAGCGGAGCCTTACACCGGAAGTCAATGAAGCGGGGTTTCCTCACGCTAAAATTTTACCGCTGAGTGGAGTATTTAGTACGCAGGAAGTCGCCCGGAGGAACTTTTCCCATATTTGAAGGCCGGGAAGAGGGACATTTCTGACACCGTAAGTCAGTGGGAGGGCTCTTTCCCACACAGAAAGTCAGCTAGAGAGGACTCTCCCGTCTCGATCCCAGAGAGGCGGGTTTTCCTTACCGGAAGTAGACGTGGGGCCATGACGCGGGGCCGTGACCGGAAGTCGTTGAAAAAGACCTGTTCCCACGCCCGGAAGCTAGAGGGCGTTAGTTGTCCTGTTGAAAAGGCGGGGTGGGGAGGGGAATCAGCTTTACCCCGGGCTCGGAGTTCGTAGGAGATAGAAGTGGGGAGCAATACATGAACTTCAGGGGCTTACGGGGTTCCCGCAGCCGCTCCGGCCGGCCAGGAGTACATCCCTGGCTTTCTGTTCCCACCCACGTCCCTGCCTCAGCCTGCCTCCCCCAGAGCCCGCCAGCCGCTAAGCCGGGGCCACACCTGGGGGTGATTTCATGGCTCACCTCCAGTAGGCACCTTGGTCTCTTTGGGCTAATCTCTGGCTCCCTTGCACTAACTCTTGCTCTCACCCAGCTAATCCCTGCCTCACCCTGACTGCCCCAGGGGTTGACCGCTGCCAACCAACCTGGCCCGTCTGGGGGCTTCAGGCTCCTGGCCTGGGTCTGACCAGCTCTGAATTAACCTTTCCTTCACCGTGACTAACTCCTGCCTCCCTGGCCTGTTCCTTTCAGCAGAAACTAATGGCTTGTGGATTTCTTTCTGACTAACAACAGGTCTAACGTTCCTTGTTACTGTTAACAGCTTGGATGTCGGCATGGCTGGGAAGGGGCTAACACAGGCTGGGAACTTGACTAACAGGAAAAAGCGTAGCTAGTCATTTTGGACGTGGTGGCTGCTCTGAGTCAGAGCAAT